TAAAAATGACTTTCCGTAATTTTTAGGGACACCATCACGACTAACGAACTGATTGATCAACACGATGTGTCTGTGTCTAATCTTACTAACGACATTTTTACCACGTCTTAGATTGTGGTTTACAATCTACGTCGTCTGGTCTGCTAAGTACTGAACGTGACCTATTCCCGAACATGACTGTTTTGCCGAGTGTGAATTCGCATTGCTTTACGACGTGTCTCGGTATTTATATATCCAACATGCATGTATTTAGTTATCATGTTTCTTTTGTAAGTCTGGTTGGATATTGTTTTGTGTCTTATCGTTTGTGGTTTGAATTCTATTTTTATTTTCTATATGTATGTAAAGGTTAAGATAATTAATCAACTATTTCAGTTCTATGCTTTTTAGTTTAATGTAACTATATGCACAGGATTTTTTTGTTTATACACATTTTTGATTAAGAAGAAATTAGATAATACAAATATTTACACCATTATAAACACAATTATGTTTTAATATTCTTGTTATGATTAGAAAATACATAAAAAAACACCATTACAAACTCAATCCCAATCTTATATTCTATTTTTTAGAAATTAACCTGTGATAAAATAAACGTCACAAAAATTACGTCATTTTTTTTGGCTTTGATACATTCGTGCGACGCACAGTTTATAATTATTTTGGGGTGTACTGTCGTAAATTCCTGGTAGATGTCCGTTGTTATTCTGTGGTTTACATGTTGTAATATACTATTATATTATTTATTTATGTATTTCTCTGTCCTGAGTGTTCTTGCATTTATTATATTGTATTCCTGTCACGTAATGTTGTCATTTATCGATATTTTTAGCATTGCCATATAAACGGGAGGTTTGGCTAGCCATAAAACCAGGTTCAACCCACCATAATGTCTTTAAATGTCCTGTACCAAGTCAGGAATCGGCAGTTGTTATCAAATAGTCTGTTTCTATGTATGTTGGCGTTTGTTTTGTTTTTTTTGCACTTCAGTGTTTCTGTTGTTTCGTTGTTTCCTCTTATAGTTGATGTGTATCTCTTGGTTTTGATTTTTGACCAGGATTTGCTTTTGCTTAATCGATTTATGACCATTGAACAACGGTATCTACTGTTGCCTTTATCTGATGCATATTTGATAATCTTGATAATCTTGGCAATTATTTTATTTTGTATTTGTCTGTTGTTCAAGAACACAAGAATTTTTTTATCTGCATTGCACACTTTTGTTCTCGTTTACATGAGCAACTGTGCATTAAACTTGTCATTGCAATAAGGAAATAAAATTGTTATATATAAAGGTATGCTGCAAACAATATAACTTATAATGTCTCCGAGACACACAATTTCACCTTATGATATGTATATTAGGTGTAAATTTAAAAAAAGTATTTGATTACAAGGTAAATCATAATATGTTCTAATGAGTTTTAATTGACACCTTGTACACGGGAAGTTAATACATTATAGGAGTTTACATTCTTTGAACACAATTAAAATCTCCAATGTGAAATAAAATATAAATAACTCTTTAATTTTTTATCGTATAATGATGAGGTTTCATTAAGAGGGGCTAGCTTATGTTTAGCATAACTTGATTCTTCAATGAAGATAATTTTTACAGAAGAAAAGAATGAAGAAAAATCATGCAACACAAGAAATAGAAACACAAATTACTGGACAGAAAGTCACAGGACATAAGGTAATATTATATGTTTCTTAATTCAATTTGTTTTTCATAATGTGTCTCAGTCGTTAATAAGAAAAAGAAAGAAAATTATAATCGCAAATTCCCGCTTACTTTAATGAAATAAACTTTAGTGTCTGACTTATTGTTTGTTTTATCATATTGGAATTAATTAGATATTTTTTACATTATTAAGACAAAGAAGGAATATTCTTTGCTGTACAATCAAAGAGTAAAAAAGAGACAACTCATTCGTTGTTAAAAAAAAAGAAGAAAAAGTAAAAAAAAAAACACGTACCTTTGTACGGAAGCGTATTAGCGCCACACAACTTGTTTTTTTAATATTTCTTCCTATGTTTGCGTTATAACGCAAACCTTTGCGTTATAACGCAAACCTTTGCGAAATAACGCAAAACTTTTGCGAAATAACGGAAACATCTTGATTCAATTATTCATTAAGTTTTGTATATATGTCCGTCTGTCATTAATTTCGGTTGTGATTTTAGATAAAGAAAAGAACCATAAATATAAGGCCAAATCATTACAATGAATATGCATAGGAATAAGGGAATACTTGAAGTGCCATTATACATAAATTAAGAATGATTTTTGCATCAGAAAAGTATATAATTTAACAAGAAAATAGATATGGTATAGGCATATTTTAATTCAAAGAGCAAGAATAATGTCATACAATTGTGAAACTTGCAAGTCAAATAGACAAAATGATCTTTCTGCTTTAAAATGAATTATTAATAAAGAAACATTTTTTTTTTTAATTTTGATGCAAGAAATCGTTTTTTTAAATCTCAGAATATGATAAAGATTCTATGATAGAAAGTCATAAAATTTTCATTTCAATCTAGTGAAGTAACTTTTAAGATGCTTGGGTAGAAATTTGAATGGAGAGAACATAATTCTAATAATAAAACATCTTCATTTTATTGCAAAAAGGTAGCTTGTTTGGATCTAACCAACCTTACACAATCCTCAAACGAGAGCTTACTTTGGAAGTATATTTATATTTGGCTATAGCTGTATTAGCAGAGTTGATTTTTTATATTCTTCGATATAACTTCAATTTACTCAATTTTCTTTGTAAAATATATATACATGTATTATAATGTATATAATTTTTGGGACCCTTTATAGCTTGCTGTTAAGTATGGTCCAAGGCTCCGTGTTGAAGACCGTACTCTGACCTATAATGGTTTACTTTTAGAAATTGTTACTTGGACGGAGAGTTGTCTCATTGACATTCATGCCACATCTTCTTATATCTATTATCCTACTCATTATTAGTCAATGATATGTTCTAAATATTGAAGCATTTTACTTTGCAATGAGTACAAAGGAGGATAAATTTTAATATATGCAGCCTCCTCCATTATTAACTGCTGCTTCCTTTGAATCTTAAATAAGAAATAAGATAAAGCAAATGTTTGCGTTATTTCGCAAAGGTTTGCGTTATATCGGAAAGGTTTGCGTTATAACGCAAAAGGTTTGCGTTTTTTCGCAAATGTTTGCGTTATAACGCAAAGGTTTGCGTTATAACGCAAACACTGGAAGAAATATTAAAAAATAAAGTTGTGTGGCGCTAATACGCTTCCGTACCTTTGATCGGTAATGTATAATAATTATAATGATGATTTTCTACTAAGAAAACGATTTGTGATCAACACAAATAATATTTAGTAAAATATTTTGTTTTAAAGATTTAAAGCATACACCCACATTTGAGTACTTGTCAGCAGAAAGTTCGATTTTTTTTATTGTTTCATAATAAGAAAATAGAACAATAAGGAAAGAAAGTTATAATCGCAATAGCCGTTTTCACTTTTAAAAACAACTTTAGTTTCTTCATGATTGTTTATTTCATCATTTTGGAATTAATTAAATGTTTTAACATTATTATTAAAAAATTCCAAGACAAAATCAAATAATTATTTAATAACTGTTTCGAATTGGTAATGTAGAGCCTTATGTTATTAACAATAATAGTGATGTTAATTTACACATCTCCGTTTCTGTACCATTTTGGTAATTAGAACTGACCCGATAATTTACAATGTAAATAAAGACAACAGTTGTTTACCGCTGTTTAATAGTCATAAATCGATTAAGCGAAAACAAATCCTGGTCACAAACCAAAACCGAGGGAAACACATCAAATATAAGGGGAAAATTGATACGATTGTCTAGTGTCAAGTCCCGTCAATATATTATGTCACAGATTTGATCAATTATATCAAAACTTATTGAGAAATTAGAACTACACTTAATAGTTAAATAATAATTAAAAAGGAATTTCTTTTAATCTGAAAATCTCTTAGTCTAGGTAACTAATACAGTCTCTAGTGTCCACTCTTATTGGTATTGGATAAGTTGCTTTTTTTAAGCTCTGGATTTTAATATGTATTCTTTACTGTTCCTATTATTCGACTGCTGTCAAAATCAATACGGGGTCTTAGGCAAGATTGAGTACTCATAAAACATGTTTTACAGATCTGATACATTATATACCTCAGATACGGTAACAATATTTAGATTCGACGGTATTAATTGTCGTATATAGGCTAAATAAATGGTTACTGGTTTTCACAGCCAGTTTGATTTGCTACAACATAAAACATTGTCAATGTAAATAGAAGAAGATGTGGGATAGACAACCATCAGAACAGAAAATAGGACGAAATGTTGTCATCAACTCTACAAAAAAAGAAAATAATAATAAAAGTTCAATATTAAGGTCAATAAAGTGACATTTATACAATTATTTCTAAGTCCATTAGTTTTAAGTTGATTGTAGTCTAACTTCAATACCTGTGAGTTTACATATTAATTAAAAGTAAATTACACAATTTTTACCCCATCCATATTGCTTCATGGCGTTTGTAGCAATAGTGTTAAGCAAGATTTTGTTTCAATGTGCCAAAAAATTAAGTTATACATGTTGTATCAATCATTTACTGAATTTCAATAGATGTCAGAGTCAAAAACAGGATGGTAAAGGGATTTTTCGTGCAACACTCGTAATCATTATTTCCTATGAATTCATGCATAAACTGTATGGCTTGTTGAAATTCACAGTGACAATACAAGACCAAATCAACTTACAATAGGCCAGAGTCAATGTACAAATTAGATATAACCATTAAGATAGCACAACTTGGAATACAGTGTATTGGTTATTTGCTCATTGGTATAGAAGATGAACACATCCAAATAACTCATGGAAATAATAGATATAGCTATAACAAAAACTTACAAATTGGTTTTATTTCATCATAGTGTTAATGTACCAATGTCTTTTCAGGTTGATTTTGCACCTCCACTTGGTTATCAAGAACCAAAACGACCAGAGAAAAAACATGATGAGGATGTAGAAATGGATGTATGTATCTCATAGTGATTATCAAATGCTCTGTATAGGCAAATTGCATTTCAATCTCTTAAGCCCATATATGCCGGACAGCAGTGTGTAAGCGTCTAATAATGGTTACTGGTTAACATGTGATATTAATGACGAATATTCTATATATATATAAAGGATATTTCATTTATCCAGGCCACCTTGATCATAAATAATAGAAATTTTTAATTAGGGCCATTATAGCAGGTGACTTATATATTTATAATGTTTGTGTCTTCATGGGTGATGATATGGACCACGGCTTATTAGCTAATAAAATAATAAAAACACCGAACTATGAGGAAAATTCAAAACGGAAAGTTCCTTATCAAAAGGCAAAATCAAAACCGCAAACACATCAAACGAATGAATAATAACTGTCATATTCCTGACTTGGTATAGGCATTTCCTTATGTAGAAAATGGAAGATTAAACCTGGTTTTATAGCTAGCTAGACCTCTCACTTGCATGACAGTCGCATTGAATTCAATTATATTGACAACAATGTGGGAAGAAAACAAAGAGGCATAATAAGTAAAAATGTCAAAAATAAGAGGTACAGCAGCCAACTTTGTGTTATAATGGAAGTAAACCACTTATTCAGGATCCCATTACTTTCTATGTTAAGTTCCTCAATTTCAAGTAGCCACAACCCTTTTGTCTTAACTTGAAATAAAGTGACAATCATTACAAGTCAAAGTAACACCGTATGGTGTGTTTTACTGAAACATCAACATACCTTTAATTGCATATAAGAGAGAACTAGTTCCCGGAACTTCGAATGTACCAAAACAGGTACTTCAGATTTGACAAACAGGCAAAATGTACCCTCCTTTTTACATTGACGCACTTTTTTATTATTTATAATTATTAGTCAAAAAGTGTTCTACAATGATTACCAGTCATGCAGCTTTCATTTGATACCAACATTACAAAATATTCTACATATTTGAAAGTAACACAAATTTTGTGTTAAATATGTACTACTTTCTGATATGCATTTTAGTAGTGTTTCAGGTATAAAAGAACCAAACTTGCTATATTGACTTCTGCATTACTTAATTTCATTCTATGATCTATTTCAAGCCATGAGACATATAAAGTTTTAGTCCAAACACTATTTTGCTGATTTTGTTTGCTCAAATCGGACTGGTAGTAACATATGGGTCCTGCAAAGAAAACGGCATATGGATATTACCAATGGCCAATGTGATTTTTTATTTTCAATATCATGGTTCTAATTTGTTAATGTCTACATGGTAAACAATGTTCTTACCAATAGTCATATTTTTATCAGAGATTGTTCATTAGATAAAAATATATTAGTCCAAACCTAAAACATAATTAAGAATATTGTCTCCCCTTTTTTCTTCAAATTAGAAGAGGGACATTTTTGGTATAAACCATACATCTGTGGTATAAACAAATAATTAAGACTAATTTATACATCCCATATACTATAAATCATAACATCAGCTTGTTAGACACCTTTTCGTCATTGATGTTATACTTAGTGCTGATATAAACATGTATGTCAGTTTACACAGTTTTGTTTGTGATAGATATATTACATTTATTGTTAGGTATAACTTTAATACATTAAAATATTTTTTAACTCATTCTTGGTAGTAAATACTGACTAGTCTCAAATTTGTCTATAAAAAATGAAAATGTACTGATTTTGTTGTTTTCATGATATTGAATGATATGAAAATTCCAGTTACAGACATCATGTCATTATATCTTATAACAATACTATGGTTATATTATGCTGAAATATTCAGAAACTTTAGTCAAAGTCAGTATATACATTGTAAAAGCATCCTGTTAGGAGGTCAAATATCTTGTTCTTGTAATGGTTCTTTATATAAAAATCGACCTCCTGATAAACAAAAATGAAAAAAAAAAAAATTCTTGAAAATTTGTAGAACAAAGTTCTGAAATTCATGCAGAAATAACTAATCACGCCGGCAGTCAAAAATATTAAGTCTAGTTTTGTTAAGAACTACAACTATAAACTACTGTCACAATGTTTCAGGTACAAGTCAGTGTAAAACTAAAACATTTTTCACTACAGAATTGATATCATTGCTATTTTCATAAATTTCCCTTTGATCTTTCTGCATGATTGAATTTCATCTCATGCTACTCGATTGGTATTGGTTTTTCGCATTGTAGCAGATAGAGAATGCATGATGTCATTAGCCTAGGTCATTGACATTTCTTAGAAAAACAGCGGGATAAACAGATTATCACTGATCCTTTGACCTAGAGGACAGTTCTTGACTACATCTCATCTTAGGGTTCTTGCAGTACCATGCAATTGTAGCGGAGAAACACCCTAATTGAAAAATTAGTAGTTATATAAATAAATGTTGCAAGTTCATATAATCAACTATTTTGATGCAAATCTATAATTATACTAAAGAAAAAAGCGAGAAGATGATCATCCTTTGTCCCTTAAAATAATGTCATACAAAAATTAAGTCAGCATACAAGATTGTTAATCTGATTTAATTTGTATATAAAATCGAATCTTTTGATTAGTTTAAGTCAAACTAATGGCAAAGCAGCATTCAAGGCTGTGAAAAAGACTATTGACACAAATTAACAAACTAGCTAGCATATAATAGGTGTAACTCAAGATTTTAGTAAATTTATTAATTTTAGTAAATTTCTTAATTTAAAAGAAATTTCAGTCATAAATTTATAAAGTTTGTTTGTATAATCTGTTTTCAGCTGAAATAACGGTCTTTTATGAAAAACGATAATGTTATGAAATTAGGTGCACTAATAATGACATTCCTTGAATGAAATTTATCATTTATGATTTGTTTATCAAGTACGTATTTTCATTAATCATTTTTTCTTATTTCAGAGTCCATCAGACATGTCCAAATATCTGCATAAGGCATTGATAGTAGGTATAAATATATGAGATGAAATTATAAAGTGTAATTATTTAGTTGAATTAAATGGATAAACAAGACTTTTGTAGTATGTCTTAGACTCTCTCATCAGAGGTTTTCAGAACGTCTTTTTGTACAGGTTTAACAAGTAAATTTCATATTGATTTTCAACATTATACATTTTTCATTGAAAAATAATCTCAAGAAGTGAAAGCAATATATGTATAAAATGTAATACTCTTATTGAAAACATAAGGTATTATAAACTGTGTTCTTCTCTTTGGTCGGGTTGTTGTCTCTTTGACACATTCACCGTTTCCATTCTCAATTCTATTATGTATTCTGTATTATTTTATACATTTTAATGTATGAATTAAATTGAATATGGATTTATTCCAAGCCTTCTTACCTGTTACAGAATTATTCTTACATGGTAATGGAACTCTTTGTTTAATATTTAATATCAGGCATTTAGTGGTTCTGGTAATAGGTTAGATGAAAAAAAAGGGGGATAGTTGTTTATTCACGATGTTTACATAATGATATCATGGTTTTACACAAGTCTGTCATTGTCTGTAGAAAAAGTTTACTCTTGAGAACAATTAAATTTGAGGTTCACCAATACCCATGAATACCACATAGTGTAATGAAATACTAGCATTTATTATATAGATGATGGTGATTTATATGAATTTCCCATTGTGATACATGTAAGTCCGATAATCTCACATGTGAAATAACTCGTTTATTTTCACTCTCGAGACTTTCCGCGCCATTTACCGGAACTACTTTTTCACAAACAAAGACACAATATGCAATGTAAGAAGCACAACTGTGTATAAATAACAAATGTACGATAAAAACAACAACCGTTTCCGTTGTAGTGCTTCACTAGCTTGAGTTCGATTAAATTAAATAATATCATTATAGATGTCGATATAAATACGTATAAATAGTGTGCTATTTACATCGTATGGTCCCGTTATGAGGTGTGCCGAATTCGGAGCAAATACATATTAACACGGGCCACGGCTTCTTATGGTGTGAATACACAAAAGATTGTAAACACAACAATTGTTAGGACAATTTAATGAACATTTTCAGTTAAATAAATATCTTTTCAACGAAATTATGTCCTCTTTTGGTAAATAACAAGTATGTAACAGTTATGATCGTCTTTTAAAGCGAGAAAAACATGACAAACATGCAATTAACAATTAAAATACGACATAATAAATGGTATGATAGTTAGCTTCCTTTCACCCTCCTTCTTTTCTATAAAAAAAAATCGTCTGCTTTTTCTGAAGATTCCAAAATGTCTGATTATCTTGATTCCTATACTGCTGCCATAGTAGGCCAAATTCTTGAACAAAATGATTTCGAGTTAGAAGCAGTGGAATTACCAGACTTTAATATGATAGCTAGAATTTCACAGGAAAATGTAGAAGGGGCTCAGGCACAACAGGCAAATAAAAAATCAGATTCAAGATTTCAAGACATAAGTTATGAAGAAATCGACAATTTTCTTGAAGCCACCACAAATGAAAATACAAAAAGAAAAACAGTGTCTGACATGAAACTCTTTAAAAAATATTAAGAGGAGTCTGGTGAAATAGATGACATAGAAAAAATGTCTGCAGAACATCTAAATCAAAAACTTTGCACCTATCTCTTGGCTGTGAAAAAAAAGGATGGTAACCAATATGAACCATCAACACTGAAAGGCTTCATGTGTAGTGTAGATAGGTATCTTCAACAGAAAAATTCAACCTTAAGTATTACAAAGGGTCCTGAATTTGAAAAATGTAGAAAAGTTCTTCAGGCCAAACGAAAACAGTTAAAAAGTTTGGGGTATGGAAACTAGCCTAATGCTTCAGATGAGTTGACTGACTCAGACATTGATAAACTTTATGAACATGATTTATTAGGAACACATGCTCCTTTACCTTTGACTAATTTGTTACATTTAACTCTAACTCTTGTTCTTGGGATCCGTGGTGGTAAAGAGCAAAGGGATCTAAAGTTTGGAGATATTTGTATTGGAGTAGACTCACAAGCTGGGGAATATCTCTGTCTACGCACTGAACGTCAAACCAAAACAAGACAAGGAAATGACCCTAACAACATGAAACAAATCAAAACAAAAGACTGGGCCCATCCTGATAAAAACCGCTGTCCTGTTAATGCATTCCGCATTTTCCAAAGTAAAAGACCAACAAAGATGACCAAAGATGACTCACCTTTTTTCCTTGCCATTAATCATGTTGTCAGTAGGCAATATTATCATGCATGGTTTAAAGAGTCACCAATGGGAATTAATACTATATATAGCCTAACTTCAAAAATGGTGAATGCTTGTCCAACAATCCTTGGTTGAAGGAAGCTAACAAATCATAGTGCCAGAAAACATCTTATTCAAAAACTACAAGACAAAGGTGTTGAAAATGCCCAAATAATGCAAATAAGTGGCCATAAAAATGTTGCAAGTATCAACAGTTACTCCAGGCTAAATGAGGGCCAACAAAGGCAGATTTCAGATGTCCTGAATGATACTACTGGAAAAACTCAATATAGGCCAGCACTACATACAACAGCTCATGAAAATGCCATCGTAGCACCAACTACAAGCACAGTATCACACCCATCTTGCAGTCAAACAATTGCACCAGTGTCCACTCAGATGACCTCGGATAATAGAATGTCCTCTTACTTTCAAGGGAACAACTATATCAATGGTGGAACATTTAACTTTTTTAGTTACTCTGGAAATGAGAAAAGACAATATGAAACTGATTCTCTTCCAGAACAGGCACCACAGAAGAAATTCAAAAGAATTCTTCCCTTAACCTTCAGTGATTCTGACTCTGATTAATAGTTGACATTCTGTTTATGACTATCTTTCTAATCAAAATTTCAATATTTAATACACAGGTTTAACAGTTTTACACCACTTCAAACAATGACAAAATGACATTTAGAAAATGACAATGTGTAATGTATCATAAGAGTGTATTTTTACTTTGATTTGGGTGACTTGGCTCAATGTTAATAAAACACCAATTTTTGGTAAGATAATAATAAAACTCAATGTTCATCTTATTAAATATAAAAACAGCAGATTTTGTTTCGGGTAAATGTCAGTGTCAAGGCAGTATTTAAATCAGAAAACCAAAAAAATAAAAAGTAGACATTTAGAGGGCAACATTCATACATGTACATGTTTAGACTTCAACATACAGATGTAAACAAACTACATTGAATTATTATGCCAACCAGGCAATTAGGACAGGCACATGAATAAAATGTTCAATGTTACCCAGGTACACATGCATATCTTTTTTGGTAAACTTTTGGTATGAATAACATAAAAAACCAGACTATTTGTATTTCATGAATAATAAAGAACTTACCTTAATTCAACTGAAGAGACCAATGCCTTCATGCTTGTCACAGACTCAACTTCATATAAATGTGTTTCAAAACACTTGTCATACTATAGTGACATACATGTCATACATGTGTTTTCCTATTTTTCCTATTTAATCAACGGCTGACACACAGTTAGTTTACGGTCACCATAGAGACTTTGTCATAGGAATTTCTTGTAATCCAAATCTTCCAATCGTTTCAATATTCACACCACAATAACTCAAAATAAACTCAAACTTCCAGTTTTGAAAAAAGGCGGCATGGTTACTTTCACGACACACATCATAAATTCATGTTTACGCTCACTTGAGACTTCCAACTGAAGATTTCCGCATCGACACTTAAAACTTATTGTTTAAATATGTCACACATCAACAATTAATACCCTAGATGCATTAAAAACAACTCTTCGATTCACAATAACTGCGACATATGCATCAATCTTCTCGAGGTGACAATCGGAATTTGTCATTTTTACAGTTGTGTGCAATACACATATATTCATACGCCAAAAAGAAAAATGCCAGTGAAATCGACAATGAAGTGAATCCAAATATAAACGTCAGTATAAAAAAAATGGATTTGATATTCTGAATCTATATAATAAAAAGTATAACTAATCGCCGTATTTGAATATCAAAAATAAGACAACTTGTGACCGAACGCCGCTATGGATTAAACTCGTGCTGCGCACTCGTTTAATCCATGCGTTGTCTTATAATTGATATTCAAATACGGCGATTTGTTATACTATAAATACTTACAGTACAAGAAGTTATTTGAAAATAAAAAGATGAGTATTTTGATATAATTTCAAAAAAAATAAACAAAAACAAATTATATTCAAAAGTTTAAAAAGGGACATGAATATAAGGAAAACCAAGGCTGCAAACAGCTGATTGTTTTATGTTGACTTTACAATAATTTGATATTGACATAACAATCCATTTAATGAAGTTAATTAATGTAACCTAACTTTGTATCAGAAAGTCGAAACATAAGAACAATATGTTTTTTAATCAAAACGCCAAAAAGAAAATAACTGTTGTCTTTTATATATTCTATCTTGGACTATTTAATAACGGGATTAGAATTTCGTAGTTTTTCAGGTTTTGTGAAGTTTTGTGAAATAGTCACTGATTTATGGTCCCCGTTTTTATGCATTATCTCTTGGCATTTAGCCATACTTCTGTCATGAAATATATTCTTAGATGACTGAAATAAAGCGACAAAGTTTTTTTCTTACGAAAAAAGTTAATTTAATGACATACCATCAATAAATACAACAGTAATTTTCTACAAAAAAAAACAATTTTTGATCAACACATATAATATTTAACGAACTTATTAATTTTTAAGATAAAATATCAAAAGGAAATGGCAGTAAATTTTTCATTTCAGTATACACAATCATGTCTCCGAGACACATAATTTCACCGTATGACATTTATTTTAGGTGTGAATTATTTGATTACCAAGTAGGTGTAGCAAGCTTTAAAAACAGGTTTAATCCACCATTTTCTACTTAAGAAAACGCCTGTACCAAGTCAGGAATATGGCAATTGTTATCCATTCGTTTGAT